CTCTAGAGCGCCAGCTGCAGCAGGAGGATGGGCACAACGGGCAGGCTCCGGCCCGCCCAGTGTCGGCTGCCGCCTGCCTTCTGGTCCACGAACGTCTTCTGGTCTGGCATGATGTCCGTGGTCAGCTGGGTCTGCGGGCGAGGGGAGAGCAGGGTTTCATCAGGGTCCTTTTGGGGGAAAAATCATCCAACCTTGGAAAACACCTATTTTTGCCCTCCAGTCAGCGAAGGCAGCGATCCCCGGGACCGCGCTTGTCTGGCACGTCCTTCCCGAGCCATCTGCAGTGGGAAAGAGCTCCCGGCCCCGGGACGCCCCCTCCCTGCACTCCCCCCTGCCCCAAACGTACCTCTGAGTAGCACAGACTCTGCTCTTTGGACTTGTTTAGCTTCGGTCCATGCTCCTGGAGAGGAGAAAGGAGGAAGGCTTAGGGCAGGTATGTGCACCCGGGGCCGCTCCTGCCTGGGGTCGCACCCCAGGGTTTGGGCTCCCCAGATTCCCCCGGGAGCTGCAGAGCCGCCCTGCAAGGGCACGGGGTGATGCCTGCAGCCCTATGCACGGGGCATTGGAAATCGTGGCTGGTGTCGAAGCGTGAAGTCTCTCCACGTGCTTCTCAAGCACCCAGGGCTGTCAGAAGAGCTTTGCGAAAGGAGAGAAGAAAGAAAAGGGGCTCATCCCTTCTCCCCGGGCAGCTCAGGCTCTTTGCCGGGCTCCTGCCTGAAGCATGAGAGAGTGCAAGCAACAGAACGCTGCAAGCACTCACGCAGATTCATCCCAGCCCCAGGTTGGCCGCCCCCCGTGCGCCCTGCCGCAAATGTTCCTGCCGAGGACCCTGCCTACGCTCCTGTGACACCCACCGGCCACGGCCCCCCCGTCCCGGTCCTCTCCCGGCAGCACCCTACCACCCACAAGCCCAGCGCAATGCAAGAAAAAACGTATTTTTCAGGTTTTCCCAAGCCACGTGGAATTCAAGCTGTTTTCATCCCGAACGAGCCGGGGCAGGAGAAGTTGTGCTCGGGGCAGCTATGCCAGCTCAGCTTGCCCCGGGCACAGAGCCGCGCCAGGCAGGGGACGATGCCCCAAGCGAGGCGAGGGGATGGGCAGGGCACGGATCCCTCCCTTCCCCATGCCAGACCCCCGGGCAGTGCCCAGACCCCCGTTTACCAGGGATGGCCGGATCCTGCCGGGCACCTGGGTACCAACACTGCATCCAGGCCGAGATGCGTGCACTGAGCAGGACTTTTTTGCTGCCCACGGGCTGCAGCCGATCTCCTGGCTGACAGACCCACCGAGGGTCCAGACCAGTGTCCCCAGTTTGCAGCAGCGACCAGGCTCAGGTTCTACCTGGACGGAGGTGCAGGTGGTGATGACGCTCGTGTCGTACATGGTGTTGCTGTCGTTGATGTCATCCGGCAAGGCAGGGCTCTTCTCCGTCTTCGGTGGCAGGGTGACGGGGGGCGAGGGGTTCTTGGGGGAGATGTTCACATCGGTGCCGTTGCCGAAGGCTTGGATGGCATTTCCTGGGGCAGGAGGCATTTATGGGGGGCTGCACCCCGGCGGTGACGGGGCAGGGTGAGGAGGGGGACGGGGAAGTGCCTTACCGAGACAGGGGTTTTCTGTGAAGTCTCGGAGGAACTTCTCGCACTCCTCCTCCATGTTGCCGCTGCCTTTGCAGGAGCACCAGGGCGAG